ATGTTTTCCGTCCCATTTTTGCTCATTTCTCGGAGGCAAAATGAGCAAGAACGCTCATTTGTACATCATTCTAGACAGAAATCAATGGCCTTTTTTGAAAGCGAACCATGGATGGGCAAATGTTGGCAGTTTTCTCAAAAAAGGCTTGAATTCAAGAAGTTTTAGATTTGCGTGGTTTTTTTTTGAGTTGCAAAATCCACTTGAATATGACGCTGCTTTTTTCGAAGTTTCTCAAGAACCATTCGAGCCACAGAATTCGGTTTGGCATCGTTGGATAGAGAATTGAATGGGGGGTCATAACCCCTCATGACCCCCCTGGATCCGCCTTTGTTCTCAAAAGTATTTCAGATACAATTCATCGATCTTTCAATTGTTCGTCTGCGATTTAGTGAGAGGGACGGCTTAAGGGGAACAGGAAGATACACAACCTACCTACTTTCCCAAATATGTGGCAGAAAGATAAACTTTTTGGAGTTAGAAAGGTTGTCCGAAATTCACATGCTGCAGCGTTAAGAAAAAGGTCGGTACAAAGGTTAGTGGGAGGAAGAAACTTTAAAAATTTAACACATTCATCCGTCCAGCTGCATCGGGTTACTTAATTTGTTCTGATTCAGCTGGACTATCATAAATCTGTTTCAAAATGGTCATTTAAATTGAGGCCGTTGCATGCACTCGATTTGTACTGACTACTAAAATCGGCTGCAATTCAATAAAATAAATTGTGACTTCCAGTTGCAAACAGTTTGTAATTATCTTAAACTTTTTTATCCCGATTATGATCGATCGTGAAGAAAAAATACTTGCCCATTACCGTGTATAATCTAGGTTTAATTAGGCAACTATTGGCGAAAATATTTCTTTTTTAACAGGGCTATAATTTTCATGATTATTCAATGCAGAACTTTCGCTCAGGCAAATCCTAGAGGTGAAAATGCTCACCTGTTCCACTCTCAGAACCTCGCCGCACTGAGTCACTGTCTCTTCGCTTCTGCGTCGCCCGCGCTCTGAGAATATCTAAGCTTAGAGCCGCAATGTCATCTGCCGATATTTCTAAAGAGTTCCTGTCGCTGTCCAGAGACGTTTTGGACTCGGTGCTTTTGGTCCTTTGGCGCAGAAGATTTAATTTTGATCTGCTTCCTAATATAATGCATGTATACATATATGGACTATAAATGTTCGGTAAAACCCAATACCTGCAACCGATATGTTATCCAACTGCTCATGCCGTCCTTGCTGATCTTCGTCTTCAGCGAATCTGTACTCGATGTGCTGCCCATTATCAAATATGTACGCATCAGGCCTCACTTCCGTCAGCGATCGAACTATAGTCTTCCGCTTAATTGGCTGGACTTTTGCTAGAAGTTGGCCGATGACTGAGGATTCGTCCTCTGAGAAGACGTCCGATTTTTCGCTGACGCTTCTCTCCCGTGAATCTTGAGCTGAAACCACTCTCGAATAGCCCAGGAATTGTGGACTGAGAAAGAGACTTACCAACAAGGGCAGGTTGAGATGCAATCACATTAAAGGATGGCGGCCTATTAACGAGTTGCTTGAGCATATCGAATTCGTTGGTGATGTCGGTGAGTTGATCGGTAAACTTGCGGCAACGCACTTCAAGGTTTTGAAGCACAGTTGTTTGCACATTTTCCTTCGTGTGTATATCTTCAACTTTCTGCAAATTAAACAGCGTGCTTCGTGAGGTAAGCTGCGTTAGAGCATCAGCATACCTGAGTCAGGTGTTCAATCCTCTCCGTAGTGACTTTGATTCTTTCCTCAGTGGACTGTTGCAGTTTGTTCTCTTGTTCAGCAAAGTAGCCCTCTACACAGTCTTCCTCAAAGTCGTACAGCCTGAAATTTGAGAGTAAACTCCTGGGTTTTACTCCGGGTGCACTGCACGCACCTTTCCATTTCATCTGGGTCCAGAAACAACTTCAGCCCATTGTCGTAGCTCTCCTCTTTGCCTTCCACTTTGCGTCGTATGTATTTAACTAGCAAAAAAATGTGGCAGAAGACGATGAACGGGGGTGGGAGTAGTGGCTTTTGCTCATATTCCATCACCACAGTAAATCTTTGGAACATCCATACTTGGTGTGCTATAGAGTTCACCTGGAAGTCATACAAAACATTACCTACTATTATTACCAATTTGTATTGCGCACCTCATTAAATATGTTGTTAAACACCGCAATGAGCAGATTAATGAGGAGAATGTTGGCCACTAAAAGATACACAGACATGATCACTGGCGAAATCCATTTTCCAGATGGGCATGACTCGTCGAGGCATTCTGGATCAATCTTGTCTGCATACACCTCACCGTACAGCATGAAATAGGGTTCCATGAAAACCTAGATTCAATGGAGTTTTAACAATGAAATTAACGCATTGAAAACTCACATCTCTGGCAATTGTCCAGTGCGGCGAAGCGTCTGGATTGAGGAGCGCCTGCCGACAGACTCCGAAACTCATTAGAACAATCAGCAACAGCACCACGAAGTAAATCATGTTTTTCACCATTTTGCCCATCATCGTTACCAAGGGACCTACGAAAGTTGCATTCAAACCTCATCTACCGCTTTCAAACGTCCTCCATACCTAAATACTTGTTAACGCTTAGAATGTTGAGTATTCTTAGGTACCAGTAGATGCTGTTTACACAGTAAATAACTCTCCCTTCTTGGAATGTGTCCGTGCGAAACCTTAAAGTGACGCCGATTAAAAATAAAACTACGGCTCCCATGTCGCACGGATTCCACATGTTCCAACTCCAAACGGCCAGCTTTTGAGTGACTCCCACAGGTTCAGACGAGAACAACTCGCGGATTTTCTCGCAGCCAAGCGAACATATGAAAGCTATCGACATCCATTCTTGCCATGAAGGCATGTCGCCCATTTTTACTAGGATCGTGTAACTGAACAGGAACAGAAATGCCAGGTACGCAATCTGTAAGAGTACGGCCCTCATAAACACCAGATAATTCCTCAACCAGCCATTCGAAACACTTACTGAATTTGACCAAAACTTTGTGATCGGTGCGGTGAAGAATTCGTACAACTTCTTTTTGATGCGCAACTCCCGCTGCTTTGGCATTTTATCGGAGTAAGTGTCGGTGAAGAACATGTGGTACTTGCTCTCGCTGTCATAATCATGGAGAATTTTTCCATTTTCATGGATAATCGCATCTCTGGCCAGGAAGTTTTCGGCAAGAAGAGCCTGCAAGTGAAACACGATCCTCTTGTAGGCAAGATTTCATTGATTTCTCCCAACGCCACCAGAGCATAATTCAACCATATTTAATGAAAATAAAAACTCGCTGGATTATGCTCTGGCAGGTGCCTAAAATCTGCATAAATGTATAACATCAAAAAAACTGTGTCTTGTCAGAGTACCTACATGCGATTGTCTGGTAGAAACGGGAAAAGCATGAACAATTCAGCACAAGAAGCGAATAGGTAAAGAGCGTGTGTTGAAAGTAACAGATACTGAAAGTGTTGTAAACATAAACAACGAATACCACAACAACACAAGTCTATTGAGTGTTCACACTGAAACACTCAGTTTGCAGCTCGAAGACTCAATAAAACTCATCAAACAATACACACGTTAAAAATTGTTTTGGCCCTCTCTACCTTAACACCAGTCGGATTTGGCGTCTTGCTTCTTATACTCAAGCTTCTCGTTCGCTTCTAAAATTCACAACAGATTAAAACTACAGTCTATTTCATATAAACACTGCGACCTGCTCAGGTCGTTTATGGACGAAAACGTGAGAATGCTACGGAAATGCTAAACAGGCAGTTTATTAATTTTTATACATACAGTTTTCCTGCCTAGAATGTCATTTCTTTAAAGACAAAATGCTAAGCTTAGAAAGAAATGAACTGAAAACAAGCGAAAATAAGAAACTATACATGGGAGAATCAGTAGGAAAAGGATTAGAATACACGTTCTGTGAACAAAGCCGCTCGCTGCTGCAGATAGTTCACATGTACAGATTTTTTCAAAAGTATGGTCAAATTTAAAAATATACAACTTCATTTTCCGCCTCATAATTAAAAGTAAGCGTCATTTTCACCAAACAATACTGAATAGCGGATAGTCACTGCAAAACTTAATTAAACATTTTTTATTGGAAACTAATTTCAATTAACCAGTGCCAAACGTGCACAAAAGGGCTCAAAGGACTGCAAGGTGTAATGGTGCATTGACTAAAAAAGCAAAATTGCTTACTTTCGTTGGGTAAAATTGAATGTAATGCTTTCTTACGGCTTTACTACGCTACAAAATATGGAAAAATGTTAGTTACTCAATTAATTACTTCTACATCATACTGCCAAAACCCAAAATATTAATAACAGCTGGTTGTTGAAATAGATGCAATTTGATAAAAACGGCAACTTTAATGTCCGGTTAGCAAAAACTAGTAACTCTTGACTGTATTCTTACCTCGGCATCTGGATTTTTTTCAGAATCTGACTTATCATCGTCGTCGTTTTCCAGTTCCAAATGCTCCTCGGTAGTTTGAGGCATCAGCTGCAGCTCCTCCTTCGACTTGAATTCCAGCTTTAGAATATACGGCGGACAAATCAGGCCCATAATCACCTGTAAAAGCGCAAAGTTTTACAAATGCAACTTTCCCAAGCGGAAGTCTGCACATACTTTTATGTTGGTGTTTTTTCTGGTTCGCAGTCCACCCATCCACAAATCGGCCAATATAATTTGCGAACACGGATGCGCCAATAAGGCGCGATGATTTGCGGCCACCGCCAAACTGAGGCACGTTTGTCCAGACCAATTTCGCAATTCACACGTTAGGAGCTGTTGGGTTTGATCGTCGTCTTGCCGATAGCAATAGTCCAGAACTTCTAGCGCTAGAAACAAACAACATTAAAATGAATTACAATTTTCCCAGAGAGTTCGAAAACACGGGGCGAAAATCATCTTATTACCAATGTTTTCAAATTCCTTCCCATACGATCTCAGTTCTTCATACACTTCCGTTTCCATGTCATCTTCAGCTGCTTCGTGAGCCATTGCTTTGTACAACTTGCACGCGACCAGCGCCTTAGCGAGCGCTTCTTCGCCGTGCTGCCACATTAATAGAGCCATTTTATGACGCTTCATCAATACAGCCCAAATCTGAAACAATCGCGATTTACTTGAACGTGAGCAAGCTGAAAAAATGTGATTTCAATCACGCTAACCAAGAGCTCGTTGAAGGGGTAGTCGAACAGACAAGGATTAGCGTTTGACGGCAGAGCCCCCGCCAGCAGACTCATGGCTCCAAACTGCCTAGCAGAGGCAGCATTCATTGTCATGTTCTGACCCTTGTTCATCACCTTTGCATATATAGGCCGAAATTTTCGTCTGGTGTAAAATGCCCTAACAAAAAAACCAAGTTGATTGAACAATAAAGCGAAAGGATGTGTGTGCTTCACCTGTAGGCACCACCCATGAGTTTGTTAATCACCAAGCCAATATCATGAAGAGTGTAAACATATCCAGTAGGTATATGAGGCCGGACGTCCCTAAGAATGTATCGCAGAGTATTGCTAGGCCCTTGCTTCGAATTGTAGAGATTCTCTAGTCGGGGTATTGTCAAGAATTTGCGCATGCTAACTCCGTTCTCCAACAGGAGTTTCACAAAGTCGCATCGGTCGTGCTCCAGAGCTTTCATCATGGCATCCTCAAGCGCTCCATGTGGCCATTCCTGACCGTAAATAAATATTTCAGAGCGCGCAATGTCTGCTCTGTTCCAGGTTAGAGCCAAACTGAGCTGCTCAGTGGGCGACAAGTGCTGCGACTTGAACAGCGCCGTCAGAATAATCTGGTCCAGCTCCTGTGGTTTTTGATCGTACTTATCCGCTATTCTAAATATCGTAATCTACAATAAGAAAAGCAGTCAATTTTTCCCACTCCCCATATGCCAGAAGCATGCTTTACCAAGTGCTTATTTTCAACACACATCATAAGCTCGCTGAACAGGCCATCAGCCAGCTCGGCTGCCACTTCAAACGCCCTTTGGATGGTCGCAATGATGTACTCTTTCATAGTTTTCAACATCGAACTGTCGTACCTACGGATGGTTCTCATTTAAAGCACTGTTTGGAAAAAAAGCTTTGGCAGTTACCGTACTTGCACATAAACGCTATGAGATCGGCCGCTCTACCCGAACCATCACACACCACAACGGGTACTGGAGGATCATCCGTTACGTATTCCAGAACTGCTCTTATGGTGTTGGTGCCACCTTCGATGACCAGACAGACTATTGGAATCGGACTTTGGGTGACTGGAATATTGATCAATTATAAGTGGTTATTTCTTTTCGTTTATTTACGGTTATATCGGCTAATAGTCCCTTCTACTGCCTGGAATATCCGCCATGGAAAAACGGAATCTGATTTTTTTATTACTAGATTTAAATTTCCCATTAATTTTCTGAAGTGTCGCAATTCGCGAGTTCAAAAGTCCAAAGCCCCTTGGTGGCTAAAATTATAACTACAAGTTTAGCAGTAATTTTACACTTGTTTTGTTGACATTGATGCTTACATCTGAGTGTGATTTGTTGTGTGTTGTTCTAATCAACTTTTGCAAGCTTTTCAAGAAATAGATCGAAAAGTAGGAAAGTATTGTTTTATGTTATAAATGTCATCAAGTCCAATAAATAATCAAGTCTGACAAGTCTTAACTCTCACTAGACAAAGAGTAATTTGACGTTTAGCGGCGCCACCATCGGTAGTTGAACTCGCGAATATTTGATAGCCTGACGTTCAGTTGTCAAACTGTCTCCAGAAACAGATAAAAGTTCTATGAAAAACTTCTGGAAAATGCGAAAAATTTGTGAATCTTACAGCTCTTTCTTAAAAAAGTAATTTTCTGCACTTACAAGGATATAATCGCTGCTTTGATATGTATTTTTCCAATCTTCTCCTCAATATGATTTCCGCCCCGTATTTTCCAACGGTGCCATTATCAACCAGTAGAAAATATGCGTGTCTGTTGTTTAATGCTGCGTTTTTGGATCTGAAACAAGAAATCCAGGCACTTCAAGCAGGGGCGGATCCAGCTTTAAAGTCAGGGGGGGGGGGGTTATGTAGAAAAAACACAGTCATCTGTTGCTTATGAAATTAGAAAAATGCTCGTCGTTTTGTGCAAGGGTGGCGCAAGATTATTGCAAAATTTCATGTCTTTCGTCCCGTTTTGCATGTTTCTCGGAAGCAAAATGAGCAAGAACGCTCGTTTTTACATCATTCCAGAGATAACTAAATGGCCTTCATTCGAAGTATCTCAAGAACCATTTGAGCCACATAATTCGTTTTGGCATCGTTGGATCGAGAATTGAAAAGTCCATTTAGTCGTAACAACGTGAGTGAGGAAATTCGAGTAGTTTTGAGCCAGAAGGCGAAATTTGAATATCAGACACTTAGGTGCAAGATTATGCCAATATTCCATGTTTTCCGTCCCGTTTTTGCTCATATCTCGGAGGCAAAATGAGCAAGAACGCTCATTTGTACATCATTCTAGACAGAAATCAATGGCCTTTTTAGAAAGTGAACCATCGATAAGGAAATGTTGGCAGTTTTCTCAAAAAATGCTTGAATTCAAGAAGTTTTAAAATTGCGTGTTTTTTTTTGAGTCGCAAAATCCACTTAAACATGACGCTGCTTTTTTCTAAGTTTCTCCAGAACCATTCGAGCCACAGAATTCGTTTTGGCATTGTTGGATCGAGAATTGAAAAGTCGATTCAGTCGTAACAACGTGAGTGAGGAAATTCGAGTAGTTTTGAGCCAGAAAGCGAAATTTGAATATCAGACACTTAGG